GGCATAGAACATGTGTGTGTCACTACTGTGCCGATCAGCCCACACCGGAACTGACCAGAATCGCCGACTGCTTATCCAGATTTCGTCTTCTATGATAGTCAGTCAGTTCATTTGAGCCCGACAATAATGAAAAGGGACAGTTGTTTATCCGTTAATTCTATTCGAAGACCTCTAATCAAGTCAGAACTTCTATGTGGGTTTGTGGCAATATTGTCCGAAACTGTAGGGGCAACGTGAAGCAATCGGATTGTCTACTCGGTAACCAAGGGGGTAGTTATATTAGTACTCACGTTCTGCCTATGAGGTCCCGGTCTCGATCCGCAGTTGGATCGATAGATTTGCATGACTATTGAGACCCAACTAAGTCGAAACTGTTATAAGATGCTTTAAAGATTGCAGCTCATGTTTTTCTTTTCCGGTATTCGACAAATTTCATCATACGAATGTTTTTTACCGTAGTTTTTAACTGTTCTGAATGGTTTCAATGTATCTATCACGTCCATAGTTTTCGTAGCTATCATTCAAATGTCTATTGTTCCCTTGATAAAGCATGCTTTTATCTTTCCCATATTTCTACTACTACTACGTGCTTTACGCACTCGCTTCCCGCTCCCCCTGGGTCCGCTCCGTCTCACAAAGGAATTGTCCGCGCAAGAAATCGATGTGCACAATGTGATCGTCAATCAACTCCTCTTCCCCAACATGATCACTGCGGAAAGTGAGACGAGCAGTCAGTCCAGTTCCAAAGACGCGCGTCAACCACCGACCTCTTGTCGAATGTGTCTAGCTCGTCATCGTATCCAGACCAAATATCTGGAACAGATTGTGGAATTGTACGAGGATATGCATGTGATTCAATTACCCCATTTGGAAGAAGAAGTACGGGGTGTCGCGTCTGTGCAAGCGTTTGCGCAACACCTGTTGAAACCATTCCGTCGTTAGCCAGTCGGATGTCCGATCGAGCCGCGCTTCCTCTCTCTCTCTCTCTCTCTCTCTCTTATTCGTTTGCTCTGCTTCTCACACACTATCTCTGACAAACCAGTAAGCAATATCTGTGTTTCAAAACATATCGCGTGTTCCACTGACACATTTTCTTCCACTTCTTCACGCGATTGTGATGTTCATGTTGCTTCTGCGGATGAGGGGAATTGAGCGCAGTGATAGCTGTTGATTCACAGGCCTTCACTCCTCATGTGTTGTCTTCACCTTTCGCCACCTCCCCCCCCCCCCCCCC